CTGTATGTGCGTGCTCTGGGTCTCGGGAGCCTGGCCGCAGTCTGGGGCCCAAGAACCCATGAAGCTGGAACCCGGAGCCCGGGAACTGGAAGCCTGGTAACCCAGGAACTTCCCCTTCAACCGATCGGCGGCAGGTTTCTCGACAACTCCTTGGGACATCCGCGAGGGCCCCTCGAGCCGGGAAGCCGGGAGCCCGGCCGCCTACCGAAATAGCCGGCCAATTTCAAAATCGAGTCCTGGGAACCGCCACGACCGCTTCAGTGCAGAAGCAAATTGGGGAACAGCTGGGGCCTCCAACAAAGATGAGGTATTCTGCCCTGGATTCAGTGCATCCTTGCACTGTTTGGCCCACCCTTGCTCCACTCCGCTGGCCAATTGCTGAGGCTCGGACGCCCAAATGGGCCTTGCACACGGACCGCGCGTTTTTGTTTGTCTGTTGTCCACAGCGTGGAGCCCCGTGGGTCTCGACCGCTTCCCAGGCGTCGCTTTCCAGCAGTGCTTGGCTTCCGAAGGCGAAAACCCACCCCCACCCCCAGTCCCGACCCCCATCCCCGAGCCGGCGATTCGAGGGGCCGGGACACTGGGGGTGGGGTTTTCTCTGGTCCTGGACCCCGAAAACCCACCCCCACCCCCAGTCCCGACTCCTTGAATCGCGGTTTCGGGGATGGAGTCGGGACTGGGGGTGGGGGTGGGTTTTCGCCTTCTCATGGCTGGTTCCAGGGCCCGCTCGGGGGCCCGCCGAGGCCGCACGCCTTCGTGAGCCCTCCGCCGTGGCTGCTCCACCGCGCGAGGGGGGGCAACGACACCCTGGCCTTGCGCCCTACAGCGACCGCCCCCCCCCCCCCCCTGTGCCCACAGGGGGTGCCGGCGAGCCCACGCAGGAGTGCCGCCGTTGCAGTCGCGCCGCCGTCGCAGCTCCTCTGGATCCGGCGAAGCGAAAAAACTGCGGCATCGGGGGGCCATCATTAAGTCGGGCCTGTCCCCCTACAGGGGGATTTTCGACGAAAAATAAAAAATACCCCACATATAGTAAAAAAAAATCAAAAAATGGTCTGGGGACTATTTTTTTGAATATTTTTTGACCTTCTTGGGGCATTTTGGGGGTAGTTTTTCTTTTTCGCCGAAAGCCCCCCTGTATGGGGGACACGCCCGACATAAGACCATCACGACCTGAGCCACGGACCCCATGGATCTGCGAGGCTCTCGGCGCCCGAAGCCGGGCAAACGTGGCCCGCCGCAGCAGGCTGCGGCGTAGGGAGCTCGGGGTCGTCGTCGCCGCCGCTCTCGCCGCCGCCGCCGCCGCCGCTGCCGTCGCCGGCCCCTGCTTCTGCTCAAGAGGCGGCCGACGTGCCCCACAAGCTCCGCCGCCCCCAGCGCCCGGCGGCGCCGCCCGCGCTGCAGGCCGCCACGGTCAGGGCGTGCAGCGTTGCCGCCGCCGCCGCCGTTCCCACCGTCGTCGTCGTCGCCGTCGCCGTCGTCGTCGTCGTCGTCGTCGTCGTCGTCGTCGTCGTCGTCGTCGTCGTCGTCGTCGTTGTCGTCGTCGTCGTCGTCGTCGTCGTCGTCGCCGCCGCCGCCGCCGCCATCGCCGCCGCCTCCATCGCCGCCGCCGCCGTCACCGCCGCCACCGTACTGATCCTAGCGCTGGAGGTGCTGCCGTTCCCGACGGGCGAGGGATGCAGAGCGTTCAGAGTGAAGAGAACGAGATTCGACGAGGCGACATGGGGATGCAGGCGATGAAGAAGGATCCGATGGCGCGCGCCACGGACCCTGAGACGTCACCTGGTTGACGGGCAAGAGGGCGTCGGCAAATTCAATACCCGAGGGGCACGCGAGGGACCTCAGCGGCACGCCAGCGATGCAGATCTTGCCAGGGACGTGCGGGACGCCTGCTTGAGATCACTAAGCCACGAGGGCGCCGTGAACAGCCAGGGCCAGCCACCGAGGGGGAGATGGGAGAGAGAGAGAGAGAGAGAGAGAGAAGGAGAGAGCTGCAGCCGGATCTCAACGTGATGCTGAATCCGTCGGAGTGAGGTCCTTGAGGCAGAGGCTGGCGACGCTGGAGGAGCGCACGTCTTCTCTTTTCACGCCAGGTCGATGGCAGAGGCATGGAGATGGCAGCTGCTGCGCACCGCGACGCTCCCAGGGAGTGAGCGGTGGCGCCCGTGCCGCTGCCCTCGGAAGGGGCTCTGCTCCTCGGTTTGGTTTCCCCTTCCCCGGGGGGCTGGTCTCCTGTGTGGCCAGGCTGTGATGGGGTCGTTGCACGAGGTGCGGCGGGGCCTCTCGGCCAGGATCTCTCGTGGTTTGCACGGCCCCCCGGCTGCAGTGGTATCCGTCGCCGAGAGTCGGAGCGTTTGCGCCGCAGGGCAACTCCGACGTGCGGCGCTTCGTCGATTCCGACGGCGCAGAGGCACATCACTGTTTTTTATATGCACGTGTGCGGTTGGACGCATCAGGATGCCACGAACTTGTTGCGCCTCCTTGGTGTACTCAATTCCGTTTCGGAGGAGGAGGAGGGGGAGAAGGAGGGGGAGGAGGAGGAGGAGGAGGAGAGGGAGGAGGAGGAGGAGGAAGGAGGGGAGGAGAGAGGAGGAGGAGGAGGAGGAGGAGGAGGAGGAGGAGGAGGAAGGAAGGAGGTGGGAGGAGGAGGACGGGGATGAGGCCCCAGAGTCTTCTGAGCCCAGTGACGTTGTAGTCGAAAGGCGTGCGGTCCACCTCCACCTCCACTTTCTCCTCCTCCTGCTCCTCCGTGGCCATTTTGGCAAAAGCCCTCCTCAGAGCCCGTCGAGTTTGCAAGGGGGCAGCCTGGGCTTGAGGCCCTGCAGCGGGCGGCGCAGTCCTCGGCCGCACTGGCGGTTGGCTCGATTCTGGCGCGAAGCACACTCTGGAGGGCCGGGGTCCGGCGCAAGGAGATGCCGGAGGGCACGGGGCCGAGGTGGTCGGGCGTGGAGTCCAAGCCGATGGACAAGAAGGAAGGGGCCGTGCCAGCCCAGCTTGGAATGCCAGCCGAGGGCAAGGAGGGAGCGAGACGAGCTCCCAGGCGCCGGTGGTGGGCGCTGATGTGCAGTGCTTCGTGGACGTGGCGGGGCTGCCCTGGGACGCAGAAGATCATCATCTGCCCGGCCCGTAGCGCCGCCTCTCTGGTTGCCCGCGCGCGCCTCCGCGCGCAGTGGATGCCGCAGCCTGGCCGCTCGCCGTGCAGACGGCCCCGGCGCCAACGGAAGCCAGGACCCCACTTTTGGGCCTCCCAGATGGGGTCGGAGTAGATGGGGTCGGAGGATCGCGCCGCACCGCCGCTGCATCGCCGCCGCGGCTCGATGTGCAACCTGCTTGGCTTCACGTCAGCGTCGCCGATGTATCGCCGACGTCGCCGATGCATCGCCGGTACATCGCCGATGCATCGCCGATGCATCTCCGATGTATCGCCGATGTATCGGCGATACGGCGCGATCCGCCGACCTCATCTACTCCGACCCCATCTGGGAGGCCTCTACTACTCAGAACACAACCATCCCGAAAAACGCCCTCACGACCATCATAGGCCCTCCTGGAGGGGAGGGATGTCGTTCCAGGGTGCCGCGGAAGCGAGTCCCGCTCTCCGTGAAGTGCTGGATCGGTGACGTGCAGGCCCGCGCGCTCCTCGCCGCGCCCAGTCCCCCGGCCGCGCGGCGCGCGGGGGACTGAGGAGTGGACGTGGTGGATTCGGGGATGGACGTTCTGACACACCTCGGCGGCGAGCCCGGGGGGGAAGTGAGAAGGGGCGGGCCTTCTCAGAAGGCTTGGGAGTCCCCCGGCCTTCTGAGAAGTGTTCGAAGCCTTCCCCGAAGGCACAGACAGCTTCTCAGGAGGCTTGGAAGTCCCCCGGCCCTCTGAGAAGTTTTCGAAGCCTTCCCCGAAGGCGCAGACAACTTCGCAGAAGGCGCGAGGGCTTCTACTGTCGGACCGGGGTATAAGATCGAAGTCGGCTCAGGGTACCCTCATGTTTTTCGTGTTTGTTGGATGTTCTTGTGCATCATGGGGGGGTGCCCTCGAGTGATCTGATGGCTTGAGGGTGTTTTGGCCGGCGGAGGGTCTCATGTTTTTGACGGGTGTTCTTCTGTTCTAGGTCCGGCCGTAGACGGAGTTGATTGGGGGTGGACGTTGTGAATCCTGTCTCGGCGGGGGGGGACATGTATTGCTGGGGTGTTCGGTGGCCAGCTTGGGGCGGCCTTCCGCCATTGAGTGAAGCACTGCCTTCTGGCGGAATAGGATTCACCAGTCGTCAGAAGGGATGCGCACGGATGGGGCGTCTCGGGGCCCCGTCGCATTCGTGGCTTCGGCTCCGAGTGCGGGGGAGTTGCGCTTCGCCTCGGGCGCATGTCCCGAATGTTTCTCTGGGCTAGTAAGGCAGTCAACCAAAAATAACTGCTCCGCCGGGTTCATTTCCTGTTGTTTTTCCTCCATCTTCTTGGTCCTTTCATTTGCCTTCATCTTATCCTTCTACCCCCCTCCTCTTCCTTGCTCCTTCTCGCTCGAGTCGTCAGGAGCCTCCTCCTCCTCCTGCTCATGTTCCTCCCGCGCCTTCCTCTTCCTCCTTCTCCTTTTCTTTCTCCTCCTCCTCCTCCTCCTCCTCCTCCTCCTCCTCCCTCCTCCTCCTCCTCCCTCCTCCTCCCCTCCCCCCCCCCTTCCTCCTCCTCCCCCTCCCCTCCTCCTCCTCCCCCTCCCCCCCTCCTCGTCCCCCTCCCCCTCCCCTCCCCCTTCCCCTTCCCCTCTTCCCCTCCCCTCCGCCGAGGTCGTCGCGGCTGCGCTGGCGTCCCCCGGCCGCGAGGACGGCGGAGCCGGCACCGCGGTGGCGGCCGCCGCCGGCGCTGCGGCCTCGCGCCCCCCCGCGCCTGCGGCGCTGCCCCCGTGCCCTTCCGCGCCGGCTGGCTCTCCCGCCAGGGCTGCCGAGGGCCGTGGCGGTGCCTCGCCGACGGTCCGCGCGGCCGCCGCGGCGCCTCAGCCGTGCCCTGCGCCGCCGAGCGGCCCCCGCGGCAGCGGCGGCGGTGCCGGCCCAGGCGGCAGGGCCGAGCACGCCGGCGCGGGGGGCGGCGCGGGCGCTGGCGCAGAGGCGGCCACCGGCTGCGCGGTGCCCTCGCTGGCTGCCACATCTCCGCCGCCCTCGTGCCCTGTCCCAGGCGCGGGTCGTCTTGTCGGCGAGCCCCTGGCTTGCCCCGAGGGCGCAGCCTGCGCCAGCGACGCGCCTGGGCAAGGTAGAGGCCTGCTGCACGCCAGTGGCGACCAAGAGCCGCAGGAGGGCGTTGCTCGATGTGCCCGAGGTGCGCGCCCGGCCCGCCAAGGGCGAAGCGGAGAGGTGCTCCTTCCAGCGCCAGCGGGGGGTGGCCCCGCCTGTCTGGCCCCGATCGCCCTGCAGCCTGGCAGCGCGCCGGCGGGTTGGGCCGCTCGGCCCGAAGAATACGAGCGGCACTTGCAGGCCTCGATGGCGGCGCTGAGGGAGCTGCAGGGCGGTGGGTCATTACCTCTCGCATCGCTTGCGCCGCTGCCGGGCGCCGCTGCCGCGGCTCTCTCGCCGCCCCCCGTGTTCCTGCCGCCGCCCCCGTGCCCTGCTCCGGCTCCGTGCCCCTCCGCCGGCGGCGCCGAGGCCTGCCCCGAGGATGGCTCCCGCGCCCGCAGGGTGCCCTCGCCGCCTCGGGTCTCCTCGGCGCCCCCCTCGCGCCCAGCCCTGCCGACTGCCGGCGGCGCCGACGGTGGAGCCGGCAGCTCGGCGGGGGCCGCTGTTGGCGAGGTCTCTTCGCCGCCCGTCGCCCCTGCGGCGCCGCCCCCGTGCTCTGGCCGGCCGAGCGGCCCCTCCGCCAGCGGCAGCGAGTCCGCCGGCGCCGGAGCAGAGGCCGCCACCGGTTGCGCGGTGCCCTCGCGCCCGCCGCACCCGAAGGCCCGCGTAGAAACCGAGGAGGAGGAGGATGAGGAGGCAGGTCGGCCAGAGGCCAGGGAGGCGGCGGCGCGGAGAGCGGAAGAGGCTTGGCTGCAGGCCGAGGTGGAGGGTGCGGCGGCTGGGGATTCGCCGGAGGTTCGGCGGAAGGCCGAGAAGGAAACCCAGGTGAAGACCGAGGACGAGGCAGACAAGCTGAAGGCCGAGGAGGAGATTCGGCTGAAGGCCGAAGAGGATGCGCGCCTGGAGGCCGAGGAGGAGGAGGATGCTCAAAAAGCGGAGGAAGTTCGGCTGAAGGCCGAAGAGGAGGCGCGAATGAAGGCCGAAGAGGAGCAGGAGGCGCGGAAAGCGGAAGAGACTCGGCTGATGGCCGAGGAGGAACAGGCGCGTTTGAAGGCGAAAGAGGAATCCTCCAAGCTGCAAGCCGAGGAGGAAGCTCGGCTGAAGGCCGAGGAGGAGACTCGGCTGATTGCCGAAGAGTATGCGCGTTTGAAGGCCGAGGGGGATGATAACGAGGCGCGGAAAGCGGAGGAGGTTCGGCTGAATGCCGAGGAGGAAACGCGTTCGAAAGCCGAGAAGGAAGAGGAGGAGGGACGGAAAGCGGAATCAGCTCGGCTGGAGGCCAAGGAGGAAGCGCGCTTGAAGGCGGAGAAGGGGGCAGCCAGGCTGAAGGCTGAGGAGAAGGAGGAGGCTCGGCTGAGGGCCGAGGGAGAAGATGAGGCGACAAGGCTCAAGGCCGAGGAGAGCACGCGTGTGAAGGCCGAGGAGGAGGAGGAGGAGGAGAATGAGGCGCGGAAGGCGGAGGACGCTCGGCTGAAGGCCGAGGAGGAGGCCCGATTGCAGGCCGAAGAGGAGGAGGCGCATAATGCGGAGAAGATCCGGCTGAAGGCCGAGGATGAGGCACGGACAGCGGAGGACGCTCGGCTGAAGGGTGAGGAAGACGATGCGGAAAGGAACGCGGAGGAGGTTCGGCTGAAGGCCGAAGAGGAAGCGCGAATGAAGGCCGAAGAGGAGCAGGAGGCGCGGAAAGCGGAAGAGACTCGGCTGATGGCCGAAGAGGAACAGGCGCGTTTGAAGGCGAAAGAGGAATCCTCCAAGCTGCAAGCCGAGGAGGAAGCTCGGCTGAAGGCCGAGGAGGAGGAGGAGGAGGAGAAGCAGGAGGAAGAGGAGGAGGAGGAGGATGCGCGGAAAGCAGGGGTGGCTCGTCTGAAGGCCGAGGAGGAAGCGCGCTTAAAGGCGGAAGAGCAAATAGCCAGGCTGAAGGCCGAGGAGGAGGCTCGCCTGAAGGCGGAAGAAAAGGCAGCCAGGCTGAAGGCCGAGGAAAAGGAAGAGGCTCGCCTGAGGGCTGAGGCCGAGGACGAGGCGGCACGGTTCCACGCCGAGGAGAACGCGCGTCCGAAGGCCGAGGAGGAGGAGGAGGAGGCGCGGAAGGCGGAGCAGGCCAGGCAGAAGGCCGAGGAGGCAGCGATTCTGAGGGCCCAGGAGGAGGCGCCTCGGCCGACGGCCGAGAGGGCGAGGGAGGAGGCAGCCCTGCCGATGGGCGCCAGCCCCGGCCTGGGGACACCGCCGCCCGCAGGGGCCTCGCGCGGCGCCGCCCCCAGCGCCCTCCGGTGGTGAGGCCGTCGTCGCGGCTGTGGCCGCCGCTCCTCGCCCGTCCAGGTCTTCGGCCGCCAGGGCGGGGCTCCAGAGGCGGGGGTCGATGCAAGCGGGGGTCAGCAAGAGCGCCGGATCTTGCCGGATCCTGCCCATAGGTACATTGACCAGGGCTTGCGTGCAGGTGCAGGATCCTGCAGGATGCTGCAAGATCTCGCAGGATCCTGCACATCTCGACTGACCTGGGTCTGGAGTTTACCCGGGCCAACAGACGGGGCTCGTTTGGATCCCTCCGATTCGATTCGATTCGATTTCGATCGCTTCCGATTCCGATTCGATTCGACCTGGGATTCTGATTTGCGCTCCGATTTCTCATCGGATGCATGCCAGCCTGCCGATGTCCGCCGATTCGACTTTTTCCCAACTTGGCTGCCGATTTCCGTCACTTTCGCCGAAGGAATAGGCGACATTCGTCGGCGGGTGTCTGTATACATATATATATATATATATATATATATATATATATATATAATTCCTTTATCCTATAAAATTACATTGGGACCCCCCCCATGAGATCCGGGGGGGGGGGCACCACGCCGACCCCCCCCCTCCAGAGCCCCCATGACGGCTCAACAGACAGCCCAAGACGGCCCAACAAACGGCCCACACCCCTTCGATCGGTTTTTGAAACATTTCGGCATTTGCTTATTTTCGGCTTTCGGCCGATCCAAGGCGCCCCAAGAGGCCCCCTGGCTCGCACCAAGATCGCCCACGAGGCCCTTCAGATGGCCCCAAGAGGGCCCCAAGATGGCCCCAGAGGCTTCCAAGACGCCCAAGATGGTCTCTATGACTGGCCCTCAGGCGCCCCAAGAGGGCCCAAGTCGGTTCAGAGAGGCCCCAGGACGAATTCCGACGGCGTCGGACGGGACAAGAACGCCTTAGGACGGCCAAATAAGGCTCCCAAGAAGCCCCCAAAGGCCTTCAAGAGGCTCTGGGAGGCCCCCCAAGAGGCCTCCAAGAGGCCCCCAGGAAGCTGCCAGGAGGCTCCCCATAGTGCCCCAAGCGGCTCCCGACGGGCCTCCTCCTGCCCCTCCTCCTCCTTCTCCTCCTCCTCCTCCTCCTCCTCCTCCTCCTCCTCCTCCTGCTCCTGCTCCTTTGTGGTTGCATCCTTCAAGCAAAACCCATTCGACGAGCCTCAACCTCATCCTCCATCTCCTCCTCGTCCTCCTCCTCCTCCTCCTCGTCCTCCTCCTCCCGTTTTAAAGAGCAGGGCATAGAATGCGGATTTTTTCCCAGCCTCACCACATCATTTTTTCGACAAGCCCAGGGGCCAAGATTTAAGGCGAAGCGGCAGCGAGCCTACAAAATCTTGTATATACATATATATACATACACGCAGATGTACAAGGTTGTGTACCTATATGTACACATGCATACATACACACATGTTTGTATACAGGTATACATATATATATATAGAGAGAGAGAGAGAGAGAGAGAGAGAGAGAGGTACAGGGCTGGGGGCCTTCTCCCAGCTGCCTCGTGTCGCCATGGTGGCTCTGGGCTCCCTGGGGACCCTGTCCAGCGACCTCAGAGCCGCCCAGACGGCCTTAAGAGGTGCCACGGAGACACCAGAAGGCTTCATAATGTCCCGCGGGGCTTCCATGTAACCCTGGACAGCTTCAAGACGGCCCAGGAGGATTCGACTTCCGCTCCCCAGAGGGCCCCAAGGGGTAAAAGCCATTGACTTAGAATTTTTTGTGTTGTTTTTGGGATTCTCAATTTTCGAGCTTCCGACGCGCCCCGACGGCCCAAGAGGCCTCCAAGACCGCCCCAAGACGGCCCGAGAGATTCTCAAGACCACCCCAAGACGGGTCAAGAGGATCCCAAGACGGCCCCTTGAGGGGCCCAAGACGGCCCAAGACGAGCAGCCCAGACGGCCTGAAAGGCGTCACAGTGACACCAGAAGGCTGCGAGATGTTCCGCCTGCGGGATGTCCCGCGGGCTTCCGGGCAGCCCCAGATAGCTTCAAGGCGGCCCAAGAGGACTCCACTTTCGCTCCCCAGAGGGCCCCAAGAGGCAAAAACCATTGATTTACCGTGGGTGTTCTCGACTTTCGAGCTTCCGACGCTCCACGACGTCCCAAGAGGCCTCCAAGACCGCCGCAAGACGGCCCAAGAGACCCTCAAGACCGCCCCAAGACGGGCCAAGAGGATCCGAAGACGGCCCCGTGGCGTCACAGTGGCACCAGAAGGCTGCGAGATGTTCCGCGGGGCTTCCGGGCAGCCCCAGACAGCTTCAAGACGGCCCAAGAGGATTCTTTTTTCGCTTTCCAGAGGGCCCCAAGATGCAAAAACCAAGGTTTTACACTTGGTGTTTCAATGGTGTTCGGATTCTCTATTTTCGAGCTTCCGACGTGCCCCGACGGCCCAAGAGGCCTCCAAGACCGCCCCAAGACGGCCCAAGAGACCCCCAAGACCGCTCCAAGACGGGCCAAGCGGGTCCCAAGACGGCCCCAAGAGGGGCCCAAGACGGCCCGAGAGGGCCTCCGAGAGGCAACAAGCCAATGATTTTCCATCGTTTTTCAAAGCTTTCGGGCCTCTCTCGATTTTCCCAGCTTCCGACGCTCCACGACATCCCTAGACGCCCCCAAGGCCGTCCCGAGACGGACCGCCAAGAGGCCCCCAAGAGCGCCCAAAGACGGCCCAAGAGGGCCCCGAGCGGCCCTAGATGCGTCCAAGACGCCCCAAAACGGTCTCAACAGGGGCCCGAGCGCAGGAGCCCGAAGCGATACTTCGAGTCTTCCGTCCCAGATGCCCCGAGACGGCCTTAGAGGACTCGAGCAGCGCTCCCCAGATGGCCGCAAGAGGCACAAACACACGATTGTCCTTGGGTTTTGATGTGGTTTCGAAGGTCCCGACTTTTCGAGCTTCCAGCGCTCCACGACGTCTCAAGGGGCCCTTAAGACCGCCCCGAGATAGCCCAAGAAGCTCCATCGAGGGCCCCAGGACGGCCCAAGAGAACCTTTAGACGGCCCTAGACGCGCCCACGACATCCTAAGAGAGCTCCGAGACGGCCCCAAGAGGGCTCTTAAACTTAACACAACTTTAGCACGAGCCGCTTCCTCGTCAAGGATGGTGTTGTGTTAAATGTGTGTCAAATAGTTGGGGCTCGGGGGGCGCTGTGGGAGCTCCCTTGGCGCCCCTTTGGAGGCTCCTCGGAGGCCCTGTTTGAGCCTGTCGCGGTGCCTTTTGTGGGCCTCTCCGTGGTCCAGACGTCCAGGTTCATCGGGGATCGTCTTTGGAAACCTTGTGGCCCTCGTCGGTCCTCTCGAGGGCGTCCTGAGCCGTCTTGAAGCCCTCCTGGGAGTTTCTTGCAGGCCTGGGACAGCGGTGCCAGGGATTGCTTGGGATGGCCCACATCCGCGGGGGGGCAGGGCGCTCGGGAAGGAGAAGGAGAGACGAAACCAATGGACCACGAAAAGCCGAAAGAAGGAGTCAGGGAATGACGAAAGCGGAGCGTCAGGAGGAACAGAAAGGGAGAACCAAGGGAGGACGGGTGGGAGAAGCAGCAGCCGAGTAGGGCTACGTCGTCACTTCTCGTCCCCCGCCTCCTGCTTCCCCCCCATGACCCCCCTCGATGTCGTTATTCTCTGTCATGCCTCAGCCCGCCTCCCCTCCTCCTGCGCCTCCTACTCTTCTTGTCGATGGCCCGGGCCCCCTGCGAGGCCCCAGGGTGAGCTTGCAGAGGGCAGCGCCTCGGTCCGAACTCGCAAGCTACGAGCCTCCCAAGTAGGGCCCATAGACGAGGTAAGAAACACAGAGACCATGGCCAGGATCTCGCGGTATTTGTTGATGCCGACCTTGGTCATGGTCCATGTCAGCCGCCGCGGGGTCTAAGTCTTGTTGGGGCCCCGCCACTGAGGTGAAGTGGCCTCGACCCCCATCGGCGATTGATGCGCTGGTGGCGCGGACGCACCCTGACGGAGCTACGCCGCGGCCGCCGTTACCCTGAACCCTCCCGCCCGACCCCCCGCCCCGGGTAACGACCGTCACCCGGGAAAGAAATAATCGGTCACACAAGAACCCTGTGCTTCGACGTTGCGACAGCATCGCGGCCTCACGGAAAATCACGACTGGAACCTCAGACCCCACTTTTCAGCACCATTGCTTGAGCCGGATCGATCCGTGATGGTCCCGAGCCCCGAGGTTGGGCGAAAACGCACAGTGTGAAACAAATGCGACGCCCAGATCGCAGGGTCGTCCAAGATTTGGGTCTTGGGCCGAATAAGAATACATGCGATCGGATGATCGCGCCGCACCGCCGAAACATCGCCGATGCGGGTCGACGTGGATCCCAATGTTCTCCACGCCGACGGCGCCGATGCATCGCCGACGTTTCCGACGCGTCGCCGATGCATCTGAGCTGCATTGGCGATACGGCGCCATCCTCCGACCCCATCAACAACAGCGAAAAATTGCAACCGGAGCCCCTAACACCATTTTTCTGCGCCATTTTTCGAGCGGGATCGATCTGCCAGGGTCCCGACCCCCGACGCCGGGCGACAATGCCCAAACATGCTACGTCCTGATTTTGTTCAATGCGGGGTCCCTGGAAGTCCCGCCCCTTTCCCCAGGGCCGGGCCGCTCTTTGACGGTCCAGGGGCACGGCGAGCTCCCCAGGGGCCGAAAACGGCGACACACCTCCCGCCCTGATTTTGCCACGGCGCGAGCATGTCTGGGTCGGGGAGTGCTCGAGGGGCACCTCCAAAGTCCCTTTCCTGGGCTGCCCCCAGGCACCTCCCGAGCGCCTTTCCCAGGCGCCCGCAAGCACCTCCCATGTGCCTTTCCTGGGCTGCCCGCAGGCAAGTGCAGGCACCTCCCAAGTGCCTTTCCTGGGCTGCCCCTGCCTTTCCTGGGCGGCCCGCAGGCACCTCCCAAGTGCCTTTCCTGGGCTGCCCGCGCCGCCCCTGACCCGAGGTGCCCCTCTGGCCTC